AAGAGGATGAACAATAACAGAAACAAGAACAAAGGCTGAAGCCCCCAACTGAGCCGAAGCCCCCCAAAGAAAGAGCAAACACTCGATCTTCCCAGTCCCCAAGACTAAACAGTCCAAAAGCCCCCCACTGAGCCGAAGCCCCCCAAAAGAAAGAGATAGTTCTCGATCTTCCCAAGTCCCCAAAGTCCAAGTCTAAAACATCCTCCTTATTACTCCCCCTTCCCGTCTATTTATACTAGCAAACTCACAGACCCTTATTACTAATATTATTATTATTACTTCTATTATTAGTCTAATAAGTGGGTTCCTATCAGTTTGGTTCTGGACATTTAATTTGCGAATCTGCAGAGATTCTATCTTGGAGATTGTCCATTCCCTGTATTTGTCAAACTGTGCCCATATGTCGGTCACTATGAATCTAACTGATTCTGTAATGTTTTCCAAAGTGAGGATTTTGTATCTAGGATGTAGATTACTGTACTGTGTATGCCTATTGCCTTTGTATTATTTCCCAAAATGGGAGAAGAGAACTAAAAAATGTCATAGTTCATTAGTTAAAGAGACTGGAAACTGGGTTGTCATAGAAATTTATTATCTTTGCTTTTCAAAATTCCTTCACACAGTTGTTTAGAATTAAATCTCAGATGCACCTTTATCCGCCTTATTATCAACTGTTGACCCCTTTTTTTAATTCTATTTTCACTGCAAATGCAGGGCCATGGACATTGGGTTAACTCATTGGCATTAAGCACTGAGTATGTACTTCGGACTGGTGCTTTTGATCACACTAATAAACACTTTTCGTCTCCGGAGGAAATGAAGAAGGTAACTTTTGATGTCACATTTGATTCTTTTTCACTGTTTTTTCCATATATTTATATTCGTACTGTTCAGGTAGCGTTAGAAAGGTACAATAAAATGAGGGGTACTGCTCCTGAGAGATTGGTTTCTGGATCAGATGATTTCACAATGATCCTGTGGGAACCAGCTGTCAGCAAACATCCCAAAGCACGCATGACAGGTCATCAGCAGGTATGGTAAATTTTACTGATTATCTTAGTCTCTTTGCTTTTTTTTTTCCTTCTTCAAATAATATCGAACCTAAGTTTATATCCTGCTACAGCAATTATTGCTGAAACTCTATGCAAATAAAAATGATGATAAAAAATGCTAATAAAGTTCTATTCATTCTTCATTCTAGACCTATTCAACATTATTTAATAAACATCATGCTACAGCTTGTCAATCATGTTTATTTCTCTCCTGATGGACAATGGATAGCGAGTGCCTCATTTGACAAGTCAGTGAAGCTATGGAATGGTAGCAATGGAAAGTTCATTGCTGCTTTTCGTGGTCATGTTGGGCCTGTCTATCAGATCAGGTGAGTTTATGAGAATTTCTGTAGTAATGTTTGACTCACATAGGTGATGCAGCTGTGGCCACTACAATGATCATTTTATTTTACAGCTGGTCAGCTGACAGTAGGCTGCTTTTGAGTGGGAGCAAAGACTCAACTTTGAAGGTAAGAAAATATGGATTCCCTGTGGAGTTCTTGTTCTGTAGAAGTGGATTGTTGAGTGGTCTGGGTCATAATTACTGTGTCTGGTACTAAATGAGTGAATAATCTGAAAACACTAGCCTAGGCCTTTGGTGGCGTCTATTTTTACCACTGATGCTTTTTGTGCGACTATATTTAATTTTCTCCATCACAGATTTTAATGTAAAGAGCACATTTTAACTCAAACTGTACAAGTTTAAAAGATGTCTGGATTTTTATTATTAAAAAATTATATTTTCTAGGCCCTGCCGGCATGCTAGGCGGCTAGGCCTATATTTGGTTCGTGCAGAGCAACATTTAGAACACAAGAAAAACAAGTAATCAAGCTCTTGAGATGCAAACAATGAGACAGGCTGAAGTTCCATATCTTTTATTTTATCATGGCAAACCAAGTCCAACTTTTATTGTTGCATTTAGAACCATTGCTCTCTCTGACCAAGAGATCATGGGTTCAAGTTTTGAGAGCAGTCTCTTGTCAAAAAAATTGACAGCGGAAGCCTTGCCCCTTATACACCCTTGTGACAGGACCCTTCCCGGACCCTCGCTTCTTGGGATGCCTTCGTGCACTGGGCTGCCCTCTTTAGAACCATTACTCCCTATTTAGGGCAGGAGGTTACACAAATAAAAGGCTAGATTCTTAGTGATCTGCTTTATTTTCTTTTGTTTAGGTTTGGGATATTAGGACGCACAAGTTGAAACAAGACCTTCCTGGCCATGCAGATGAGGTAAAAGCTTTACTCCCCAGAAAGCAGGCACTGGAAAACATAGAGCTGTTTTCGCCCCATAATTAATAAATTGGTTTTTACATTTTGAAGGTGTTTGCTGTTGACTGGAGTCCAGATGGTGAGAAAGTTGCCTCTGGTGGCAAAGACAGAGTTTTGAAGCTGTGGATGGGTTAATAAATTATATATATATATATATGTCACATAATCTCACCTGGAAGATGAAATTTTGGTTCTGTTTGGTTAAGGTTGCACTCTAAAGGTCTTATAGTGTGAGCACACGCCATAATTTTCTTGTATGGAATTTCTTTCTGTTATAAAAACTTTAGCGGTCCTTGTATGAAATACCATTAAATTTGTTTATGACACTACTTCCATTTCAGCTTATAATTAATTCAACACATCCCTTTTTAATATCTGATTCTCTATCATACAGATTATAATCTAAGAGCATCTCCAATGCAATGATGCACATGTAATAACATGAGAGAGAAAACAAATCATTCGCATCTCTCTCTCTCTCTCTCTCTCTCTCTCTCTCTCTCTCTCTCTCTCTCTCTCTCTCTCTCTCTCTCTCTCTCTCTCTCTCTCTCTCTCTCTCTCTCTCTCTCTCTCTCTCTCTCTCCTCCCTCCCCCTCTCTCTCTCTCTCTCTCTCTCTCTCTCTCTCTCTCCCTCCCTCCCTCTCCCCCTCCCTCCCTCCCTCTCCCCCTCCCTCCCTCTTCATTCCATGATTTTCTATAATTTCAGTAATTTTTCACAATAATATCAATCACAATATCTAAATTTATCTCATGTCATATTTGTATCCAGTCATGGACCCGGGTTGGGCCGGGCTTTCTTTTGGGAAGGAAGGCTCGGGACCGGCCCGAGTAGCCACTGGGTCCGGGCTGGGTCGGGCCTCTGGTTTGGTCATTTTTATTTCCTAACCCCCCCCCCCCCCTCGTCCCCCCACCCCCTCAAACCCCCCAAACCCCTCCTAACCATCAAGCCCAAGTCCCAACCCGGGTAACCCCAAAACATGAAAAAAATAAAAATAAAATTTAATTCGGCCCAGACCCGGGCCGGTTTGCCAAATACAAGGCCCGAGCCCGGACCCGCCCCCCACCGGGCCTAGGCCCGACCTGGACCCGGACCCGAGAACCGGGCCGGTTCCGCACAGTAGCGGGCCGGTCCGGTCCCGGGCCGGACGGCCCGAACCGGGTCCATGACTATGGGTATCATGTATATTGTGGTATTGAAGACGTTCTAATAGTGCCTCTATTCCTGAATAAATTATCCACTTTATCTATGTCCTTAAATAAAGCCCATTTTCTTTTTGGTAAACAAACTTATACTTTTCCATCATTTTCAATAAAGGCAAAGACTCATTATTTTTTGGTTTGGAATATGATGGAATACAATAAATTGACTCACTAAACTGTCTGTGCTTTTTTGTTATGAAGTAGCAGTCAGTTCTAGGCGTGGACTCGGTTCGGGCCGCCCGGCCCGGGACCGGCCCGGCCCGCCACTGTGCGGGCCCGGAACCGGCCCGGTTCTCGGGTCCGGGTCCGGTTCGGGCAGAGACCCGGTCGGGTTAGCGGGATCGGGCTCGGGTCCTTGTTTTGGAGGCCCGGCCCGGCCGGGTCGGGCCCGGGCCCGGGCCTAACGGTCCAATTTTTTTTTTTTTTTTTTTTGATTCTTTTGGCTCAACGGCCACCCCAAACGGCTATATAGCCGTTGGGTGGTACCAGGGGGGGGGGGGGGGGTCAGGGGGCTTTGGGTGGGGGGTGGGGGTTAAAAAAAAACCTATAAATACTCCTAATTTTAAACATTTTTTCACACCTCTTCTCCAACTCTACCTAAATCCTACTCTCTACTCATCTCCAATTCTCCATATTCATCTTCTCAAATTCTCTTATTCTCCTTTATATTTTATTTTACTATTTAATACTTATACAATTATTATATCTACTTATATATTAATTATCTACTTATATATTATTATCTACATATACTATATTACTTATATTTCTTATCTACTTAATCTCTACTTATATCTCTTAATACATACATACATACTATATCTACTTAATATATACTTTATATAATAAAGTATTAAATATACTTTATAAACTATTACTATATACTTAATACATAATAATATCTACTTCTCTACTTATATTTTATATATACTTATTTTCCAATCTCCAATTCTCCATTATACTCTAATATTTAATTCTTATACAATTATTATATCCACTTAATACATACATTCTACATCTACTTAATATATATTTTATATATTAAAGTATAAAATATAAGTGTATTACTCATCTTATAGTAGTATACTTATATATTATATAATATAAACATTACATTATATATTACTTACTATAACTAGTATTATACTAGTTAATTAGTTAATTAGCATTCTTGTTACATTTTTCATTATACTAGTTAATTAGTTCATTACCATTATTGTAACATTTTTCATTATACTAGTTAATTAGTTAATTAACATTCTTGTTACATTTTTCATTATACTAGTTAATTAGTTCATTACCATTCTTGTTACATTTTTCATTATACTAATTAAAATACTTCACATTTTATTTAACTAGTTGTTAGTTTGTTACATTTGTCACTATACTAGTTAACTACTTAATTAGCATTGTTGTTACATTTTTACTTGTACTAGTTATTTACTTCAAAAGTTGCTATAATTTTAATTGTAGAGACACACATTAATTCTACTTTGCAAAAAATTAGTTTGAAGTATTAATTAAAATAGTTTTAATTAGTTGCATTAGTTTTGTATCCATTATTATATTTGTTGTGAATTAATATTTGTTACATTTTTTAGATGGAAGGTGGTAGATATTCGGTTGATTTGGGTAACCTCCAACGCAATCGAAGAAACGAGATTGGGAGGAAGAAATCCCGCAAAGGTAAAGAACTTGCCGGGTCTTCATCTCAAAGCCGAGATGATTTTGAAACGGGTTACCAAAGGCGAGATGGAGATGCGATGTCCGAAGAACAACTCCAACAAGAATTGGCCCGACATAATAACCGCTTTCTACAACAACAACAAATGCCGACGACCATTGACGAAGAGGAGCTTGAGGATGAAGATGCGGAGGAATTGGAACCGGAGACGGCCGAGGAGGAGGGTGCCGGCAGCCACGACGCCGATGCGCCTGCCTCATCCCAAACCGCCACCGGTAATAAAAAAAGTAAGTCTGAACTAATGAAAAATAATTTTGATAAATGGAAGGACCCACAAACCGGCTATTGGCACGCAACTTGCAAGTGATGCAACAACAATTATAGTTTGGGAACCTCCGGCGGATACGGATCCGCCGCAAGGCATCTTAAGGCAAAGCACCCCGTGGAGTATGCAAAATTAGGCGGCGGAACGGGGAAGCAAACTCAAATATCGAGGTTTGCGAATTCTCAACCTTTTGGTAATTTCTCCTACAATGATGCACAAAATTTGACTGGTATGGCTAACTTAATTTGTGAAGAAAATTTGCCTTATTTGTTTTCTGAAAGTCTTGCTTTAAGAGATTATGCACAAGGTAGTTTAATCCTCAATTTAGAAATTATAGTCGCAAAACTGTTAAGAAAGAAATAATAAGGCTTTATAATGCGGAAAAGGTAAGGTTACAAAATTTTTTTGCAAGCTTTGATGGGCGTGTTACTATTTGTTCTGACATATGGGAGGATGATTTTCATCATTTATATTATTTGGGTCTGACTGCACATTATATTGATGAGGATTGGAATATGCATAAACGTGTTCTTGCTTTTCCTAAAGATTTGAGTATTCGTTGGAATAGTACTTATAAATTACTTAAAGTTGTTCTTAGATATAAAGAACATTTTCCTGCTTTTTTAAAAGAACATGATAACTATATTATAAACGCGGCTGAGATCGACACTTGCGAAAAAATTTGTAATGTTTTGATATTTTTTTTTAATGCTACTGAAACTTTTAGTCATGTTTATAAACCTACCGCAAACCAATTTATTCCACAAGCTGTTAATCTCGCCGATGCTTTTAAAGAATTTCAAAATGCCGTTTTCGTTCATTATTTTTGTGATCATATGAAGTAAAAGTTTTTAAAATATTATGCGCATATTCCTCATATTTATGGTATTGCATTTATTCTCGATCCTCGTTATAGACTTGCTAATTTGGAAGATTGTTTCAACTTCTATTATCTTGCGTTTTTCGGTGAATTTTCAATGTATGACGATAACCCCATAGATCCGAAAACGGAATACAACGAGGTTAGTACTTTATTTTATGCCTTATTTAATGAATTTCGTGCACAAAGCAACGCTCCCCCTCCCCCGTCACGAACATCTTCATCTAAAGGAAAATCGATTTTTAAATCTGTATTTGGCAATCTTATGAAAAAAACTAAAACAACTCACGTCACTGAACAAAGCGCATTGAATGAGATTACTTTGTATTTAACATATGAAGTTGATTTTGAAGAAAATGATGACTTTGACGTTCTAGACTGGTGGAAGTCAAAAGAAAGAACGTTCCCGATTTTAGCACGGATGGCTAAGCAAGTACTATCAATGCCGGTTTCAGCAGTTGCTGTGGAACAAGAATTTAGTTCGGCCGGCAACGTCCTAACGACATCTAGATCGAGATTGAGCGCGGAGTCTCTTGAGACGCTTATATGCTACCACGATTGGTTGAAGGCCGCACGTAGAACTCAAGAATTGAGCATCACCCCCTCCCAAGATTTTATGGATGACTCAACAACCGATGGTGGCTCTACCTATGCCGGAGATTCCGATTGATTAGTATTTTAGAATTTATTACAAAATGTATTTTATAGCACTTGTCAAATTTATTTATACTTGTACTTCATATTTCAAAATTGTAAACTTGTACTTCATATTTCAAAATTGTAAATTTGTAGTTGTAGTTCAAATTAATTTGTAAACTTGTACTTCATATTTCAAATAAATATGTGTTCACTTTTTCATATGTAGCACTTCTCAAATTAATTAATTGGTTACAATCTAACGACTTAAAATTATTTTTCTAAAATATAAAGCCGGTTTTTAAATTAAAAATACATTTAGAATATGTAATTTGTTTAAATACTTATACACCTATTTTGTAACATTTGTAAATTATAAATCAAACCACTTTTCTAAGTACAAATAGTTTTAGTTTTACTTAATTCATTAAATTAATTAATTTATTTTACAATATGTGTATAACTTAAAAAAAAAAAAAATTCAAAGCTCCCAAACGGCTATATAGCCGTTGGGGCTATGGGTGGGGGGCAGGGGGGTCCCGGGGGTGGTGGTGTGGGGAGTGGGGTTCAAAAACATCTATAAATACATCTATTTTCTAACATTTTTCTACACCTTTTCTCCAATTCTTCTCAAACTCTTCTCCATCTTCATCTTCTCTTATTATCCTACATTCCTACTTATACATATACCATTTTAAATATGGAAAGTACATCTTCCCTTATGCAAAACAATTTTGACAAGTGGAAGGACCCGAAGACCGGACTGTGGTGGGCAACTTGCAGGTGGTGCAAGAAAGACTGTTGCTTGGGGCGTTCATACGGATACGGGATGCCAATAAAACATATGAAGTCCTGTGACAAAGGGAAAACAACAACCAACAGTGGCGGAAATCCCAATTGATATTCATTACAAAATGTATTTCGTATTGTTATTTTTTTCTCAATTCTCAAATGTAGTTCTTATTTCAAATAAATGCACTTGAACTTTGTTTTTAATAGCAATTTGTATAATATATAATTAATAATAAAAAAAAATTATACTGGCCCGGCCCGGCCCGGCGGGTGGCCCGAACCGTGACCCGGGCGGGTGGCCCGGCCCGAACCGGAACCGGTCATTGACCGGGCCGGTCCCGGGCCTACCGTTATAGGACCCGAGGCCCGACCGGGCCTTGACCCGGCCCGGGCCCGACCCGGCCCGGGTCCATCACTAGTCAGTTCATGTAATTTTTGACGCGATTTGCACTATGGGTCATTCGGAAATAACCCCTTTTTGCTTTAGTTAGGGGTGGACCCGAGCCGGACCGGTTCCGGTTCGGGCCTGGGCCCGACCGGACTTTTATTTGAGAATGGGTGAACCGGAACCGGTCTCGGCCCGGCCGGGCCGATTCGTCTATTGGGTGACCCGAGCCCGCATTGTAAAACCACCGGGTCGGGCCTACCAGGACCGGTCCCTAGCCGGGCCACCGGTTCGGACCGGTTCCAAACATTGCCGGTTTCGGGTCGGGCCACCCGGCTCGAGTCCATGTCTAGCTTTAGTACAAGGTTAAGGCTGCGTAAATCCCCCCCCCCCCCCCCCCCCTTATCCCACTGTAGGCGGGAGCCTTTGCGGCACTGGGGTGATGATGATGATGCCATGGTGGTAAATAAACTTATACCACATATCAATTTACTCTAGTACCCTTGAATAATAATGATATCATAGTGTGAAATAGAGTCGAAACAATGTGTTCTAATAAAATTATCACTAGTTAAAAGGGGCATTTAAGAAAGCCAGGGAAAAACCATTTTCTGTATGACTGTATATGCAGAGTTTTTTCTCGGAATAATGCTAATTAAATAAATAATTCCCAGAATACTGCTGGGTTAAGAATAATTCCCGAATTACTGTTTGCTTAACCATGGTTAAGCAAAGCCGCCACTCCAAGTGGCGGCTCTTCAGCTATCTTTATAAAAGCCGCCAGTCCGAGTGGCGGCTCTTATATAGTTATACAAAAGCCGCCACTTCGAGTGGCGGCTCATTAATCCGTAAACATACCCCTTTCTTCCCCAGCCGACGAACTAATCTGCCCTCCTCCTTCCCTCTGCAGCAATCGACGAACGGGAACAGCACGAAGCAACTCCGATTCCGGCCAGCTTTCGTCCAAACGAAGCTCAAATCAAAGGGAAAAGGCTCGTGGTGTGCCCGAGGTCGTTTGTACTCCATTCCATCAACTTTCTACTGTTTGAATAGAGGTATTCTACCATTTTTGCTAAACCTAGGTTTTTTAATTGGTTGTTCGAAATTACTTGTTTTTTTAATTAGTTTATTTGTATTTGATGTTGTGAAATATATAACTTCTTAATCTTGTTATTATGATTGAATTTATATAATTTGTAAAATTTGAATGATACCAACTTTCACCTTTTTTGCTAAAGTTAGGTTTTTTAGTTATTGCTCTAAATTGCTTGAAATTGTTATTGTTTTGTTCAAAATTGCTGTTGATTTGCTTGAAGTTGTTGTTGTTTACTTGTTTATTAACGGATTTTGATTTTCTTTTACTAATTAACTAATGCTAATTAATCATGTGTTAATTTGTTGCTTTTTCATTACACCGCATTGTTTTTACTGGTTAATTATTATGAGTCCTAATTTAATGGTATGAAATCGTAATATGTATCTACGATCTAATACTTTTCTTTTGAATTATAGCAATTGTAGTTGAATTTTCAAATAGCGGCATACGTCATACTTTTTTTGGAATGATTTTTTCATAGAATATGTCTAGAAACTTCTCCATTGTTTGTCAATGGGGAGGAAATATTATCGAGGAGTCAAACGGAGTTCATTATGAAGGAGGGATTCGGAAGATAATTGTTGTTTCCCGTGGGGTGGATCTTGCTGAAATAATGAATAAAATTTATGCCGCCACATCCATCAATCGTATGAACAAGTTGGATTTGAAGGTTAAATATCCCATGCATGGTGGATCATACATGTTGATGCCTCTTGTTGACGACGAAGCCGTTACAGGAATGTGGACTGTAATCGAGAATCTTGATATGCATACCATGGAGATATATGTTGAAGAAGTGGCGATGTTGCCCATACAACCTGGCCACCCGCCATTGTCTTGCCCATCCACAAGTGTTCCAGTTGTGATGAATATGGTTACACAGGAGAATGGAAGATACGTGAATAGTGATGCTACGTTTCTGGATTCACAATGCAATGACGACGATGCAGATGAAAATGTGAACCATGACACACTAACAGATTCAGATGAAGATGGTGGTGATCTCGTAAGTGGCAATGCACCATCCAACCACTACACTAAAGTTTATGAGCTCCCTGCGGGATTTGATGAATCATGGAAGGGTTGTACAACTTCTAGTTGCTTCTCTGCAGATGGTGAATTCGAGGTTGGGCAAGAGTTTGATGATAAGAAACAACTGATCAACATGGTTAGAGCGTACTCTGTAAAAAGGAACCAATTTTTCTCAGTTGTAGAGTCTGACAAACACAAATGGGTGGCAAAGTGTAAGAGGAGAAAAGAATGTGGCTGCACTTGGCGGATCCGGGCTACTAAGAAACATGAGAAGCTAGAGATGTTCAAAGTTGTTCGTTATGCAGGTCCTCATATACCTACTTGTGTAGGTAACATCGATAACAATGACCATGCTGGTATCACAGCTCAGTTCATAGCCCATGAAATTATTGATCTTCTTCGTACCGATCCATCACTAAAAGTCCGCACTATTAGTCAGCTTATGAAGGAAAGGTACGGCTATATACCTTCATACAAGCGAAGTTGGTTGGCTAAGCAAAAAGCTATCGGTGAAATATTTGGAGATTGGGAGGCCTCGTATTCTGAATTGCCTCATTTCATGTTGGCATTACAACATTCCAATCCAGGGACAGTCGTGCATTGGTACCCACCTCTTTCAGGTACCATTGAGTTATTAATATCATTATTATATCGTATTAAATTTCATTTTTAATTCGTCCTCCTAATTTTCTCCATCTTCAGGTACCACTGATGTTCAGCAGTTTCAAAGAGTTTTTTGGTCATTTAAGCCATCCATTAAGGGCTTTAAACATTGTCGTCCCTTACTGACCATCGATGGAACACACTTATATGGGAAGTATAAAGGTACGCTGTTGGTGGCAATGGGTAGTGATGCTAATAATCAACTGTTCCCTTTGGCGTTTGCTATTTGTGAATCAGAGAATGGAGAAAGTTGGCCGTGGTTTATGGCGTGCATACGTCATTCAATCACACGCAGAGAATTGTGTGTTATTTCAGATCGACATGCTGGAATCATGAAGGCATTTAATGAGGTAGGGAGTGGATGGGAGGAGCCAGATGCACGACATAGGCTTTGCATACGGCATGTCGCTTCTAATCTGCATACTCAATTTAAAGACATTCACTTGAAGAATCTGTTCGTTTGGACAGCCAGTCAACGTCAAAAGAAGAAATTTGATGGTGGATTTAACAAGATAGGCGAAATGCATGCGCAGGCACGAGAATATCTAGCGAACATTGGCTTGGAGAAATGGTCTTTACACCATGACGGGGGATACAGGTATGGCACCTCAACAACGAACATGGCTGAAGTTTTCAATAGCGTCATGAAAAGTGCACGATACCTGCCTGTAACCGCCTTAGTTGAGTTATCATTCTATCGTGTGAATGCCTATTTTGTGGAAAGAAGAGAAACTAGTAAGAGAAGATTAGCAGAAGGGCATCGCTACTGCCAGCAAGTGACCGAACTGATTGAGAAAAATACGGAAAAAGCAAAGCATCACAAGGTCACAATATTTGACATAGGCCGTGGTTTATACCAAGTGGAGACGGGTCGTGGTGGTCGAACCGTGGGGAAGGGTGGTAAAAAACAAACGGTGAATTTGCACCGTCGCCATTGCACATGTCAGAAGCTGAATATTTATAAGATTCCTTGCTCACATATATTAGCGGTATGCAGAGACCGTAGTTTGTCCTATGATCCATTTGTAGATATATTTTTTTCATCATCGGAGTATGCTGCTTCCTATAAAAGAGTATTTAAGCCCATACCAGATATAGCGTATCGACCTACTTACACTGGCCCACGAGTTGTGCATGACCCGTCGATGATGCGCGCTAAAGGTCGTCCGAAGGCTAAACGATTGAGAAATGAAATGGATGAAGGCCCTACAGGTACTGTGAGATGCAGTAAATGCAAGCAAACAGGGCATAACAGGACGACATGTGCTAGAAGATCGGAAGGACACGTAGGGAGTTCCACTGGGTAATGTTGTTCTTTTATTCACAAAAGCATTAGCAATATTAAAAAATAAATAAATTTAATTTAATAATAAAATAAAATAACTAATACACTTATTACTTTTACAGCGCCGATGCAGGTGTCAGTGGATCCCGGACCGATTGATCCTTCAGTCCTGACATTGCAGGCCACGCACCGGAGCGAGGATGTGTGGCGTGGCCTGGATGTTCAGGTAGATAGGTGTCGTGAGCACCTACGCAGTATATTCCACATGGGGGTGGACGATAGGATTCTACATTACGTTCGATTAGCTGGGTTTTATGGTGTTCACAGATTAGTTTCGACTCTGCATATAGATAGAGCATTACTTACCGCTCTACTTGAGCGTTGGAGGCAGGAGACTCACACGTTCCATTTACCAGTGGGTGAGGTCACGATCACATTAGGAGATGTGGCTGTATTGGCAGGTCTACCGATCGAGGGTCGGGCAGTTACTGGGACTGCATGTAGACTGTGGGTTGATTTGGTACACAGATTGTTGGGAGTACGGCCACACCCTGGGACAGATATTCGGGGGTCCGCCTTGAGGATGGCTTGCTTGAGAGAGCATTTTGTTGGTTTACCTGCTGATGCTGATGACGATGTTGTGCAGCAGTACGCGAGAGCCTACATTCTGATGCTTATGGGAGCTTCCACGTTTGCGGACAAGAGCGGGAATGAGGTGCAGGTCTTGTATTTACCCATTCTGGAGTCTTTTGATGTAGCTGCAGTTTATAGCTGGGGTAGTGCGACTTTAGCATACCTATATCGGCAGTTATGTCGAGGATGCCATCGTGATGGTGGAGAGATGGGTGGGTTTTTATTGTTGATACAGCTATGGTCATGGGAGCACATTCATATCGGCAGACCTGTCATACTGCGATATCATGGGATAGATGGTGGTCCTCTTGATGATGATATGGATCAGCACGCTGTACTTGGGCCACATCATGTTCGTGGCGAGGATCCTTTGGGTCGTAGGTATGTTTATGATTTTTTTTTGTATGACATACGTGAATCCCTTTTATATTCATATACATTACTGTGTGTCAGATGGCTATTTGCTCATGTCACGCGCACGTCATCCGCTGCTGGATTAGGATACTACCGAGATGCTTTAGATCGCTTGTGTGATGATCAGGTATATCATTTATATCATTAAATGTAAGTACTTTGTTTTATGTTTTTATAAACCATGGTGTAACATAATTTTATATTATAGATGACGTGGATGCCGTACACTGATGAGATTTTAGGGCTGTTGCCTCCTGTTGCCCGAGAGCACACTGAGATATGGCGAGCACGTGTGCCCTTGATATGTTTTGATGTAGTGGAGCATCACTTTCCTGATCGCGTACTACGCCAGTTCGGGTTGCAGCAGATTACTCCCAGACCTTGTGATACATCTGTGGATTTGCACAAGATTGATAGACGGGGGAAGCACACTGAAGATTGGGGGATGCGCCATATTCAGTATATCACTATGTGGGATGAGAGAGCGGCGTATATAGTGGACGGGATCCCATCATTAGTCCCCACAGCTTCTGTAGACTACATGAGATGGTATTACACCATCACACGGGTGTTCATCTCTCCCAGTTTTCGTTTACCCACTGATCATTACCAGCCTAGCTCAGTCGCTCTTCATATGACGGTAAACAATATAGTCAATGAAATATCTTTATTTATTTATTCATGTGTTTTTCACTAATAACCATGTTTGCATTACAGACACGGGCTTTGCGTAGCATCCATGACATAGCGACTGCTATACTTGATGAGGCGGTAGATGTACAGGGATACCATGACGCTTGTTCAGGCATTGTTTCACTGTGCGCTGATGTATTGGGTCGAGTGGATTATGGATATATGGCCACCTCTCAGCATTCCACCGCATCTACATCCGCAGCAGGGTCTTCTCAGGCAGTCCGACGTGATAGAGTTGTTCTTCAGCCTCGTAACCAGCGCAGGCGTCCCCGAGCACAGCCACATGAACTTCATGATGATGATGATCACATTGACTTATGATGTTTGTATTTAAATTATTGTGTGAAAGTTGTAGCATGCACTGGCAGATCGAATCATTTTGTGAAACACCAGATTTATTATAACTTTTATGGTTTATACTCAATTTTGTGGTGCATTGATTCGTTTTGTGAAAGTTTCATAATATGTAGTTTCATTGATTCGTTTTGTATTTTGGATGTATGTTGTCATGTAGTTTCATTGATTCGTTTTATGTTTCGGGTGTATTTTGTCTTAGTAAATCATATGTTTGGTTGTTTTTTTGAATGGAATGGACTGTGATTTTGTGATGAGCTGTTTTTCTGGTAATTACAGGTTTAGTTGTCTGAATGATGTTGCAGCAGGTTCGTTAACACAAGAGCCGCCACTTAGAGTGGCGGCTTTCATACAGAAGTAGAAGAGCCGCCACTCCAAGTGGCGGCTTTTGTGAAGCTGTACAAAAGCCGCCACTTGGAGTGGCGGCTTTCCTTAACCGTGGTTAACCCCAGCAGTATTTCGGGAATTATTCTTGACCCGGCAGTATTTTGGGAATTATTTATTTAATTAGCATTATTCCGGGAAAAAACTCGTATATGCATGCAATCAAGGAAATTATCGGAAACAAAAACCCACAATAAGTCAATAACCCATAAGTTATCCACTTTCTTTATGGATGTCCTGAATAAAGCTCCTTTTCTTTTGTAGTAAAGAAATTTATATCAATTTAATCTAGTACCCTTTGAATAATAATAACAGCATAGGGTTAAACAATTTCAAATCAATGTGTTGTAATAAAATTTAACACTAGTTAAAGGGGACATTTAAGAATGTCACACTCTAAGAAAGCACCACCACCAAAACTCTTATGTATATTTGTCACTTTTGACATAATTTAATACTTTTATCGTTGAAAAAAGTGTCAAATAAGTCCTCGTAGTATATGAAAAAGTCATCGAACTAAAATACTTCCAAATTAAACTCACCAATTTTTGAAAAATCGTCAAATTTAGAATTTTGGCGATAAAGGTCAGATCACCCGATCATATGGCTGATGTAGCGATCCACTTGAAGGAGAAACATATGAACCTAGGAGAAAATAGTGGGAAACTGAAGAAGAAGAAAACACATGCTATATGCAACAACAACAAAGTTTTGGAGAAGGTATTCATCTCAAAAACCTGTTTCTCCAAATGGTAAGTGGTCATTCCCAGTCTTTTCGGCACCATATTTAACTTAATTCAGTTTTTCAATTTTTGATTCTAGTAGCTTTAATAATTCAGTTAATGTTTTTGAAATAGAATAAGTAATATTCCAGAATCATGAGCTTTTTTGGGACTTTTAATTGGACAAAACTAGGACCGACTTTTTAAAGGACAAAAAAGAGACTGGACAAATCGGACGACTTCCGCTTCTACTAGCGTGAGCTTGTGCAACAGATAAGGCCTCCAAGAGGCGGCCGACAACAATGGAGCCAGGGACACCGGAGACGGCCAGCACCAGCTCCGTCGACGGCCCTACGACGCTGGCGTTCAAAAAAGGATCGAGCTCGGTCTTCCATCTGCGAGCTCGACCACGACGAGTTTTGGTGGCTGGTACAGAACGGTCGTCCACCTTGAGTCTGAGAAAATTGGAGCCCTGTAGTCTGTAGATCTAGAATGGTGAGTCTGTTTCGGCGGCTAGTGTTGCAGGGTGGGGTGCGGCAGTGTGGGGAGGTTGGAGAGGGGTGTCTGCGGCACCGGTCGCGAATGGGAAGCACTGGGTAGGGTGCTGGATCGGGTATGGGGGATGAAGGCTGCTGGGGGTAGGGGGAGGTGTTGGAGGGGGCAGAGGACTGCTGCGAGCTAGGGGAGGGTGCTAGAGGGCTGAAGGGGGCTGCTGAGGACTGGGTGAGGTCCTGGAGGGGGGTTGCTGGAGGCTGGGGAGGATACTTGGGTGAGGATGAGGGCCGGTGGTCGGTGGATGGGGCTGGCGGCTGCCACCGCCGGTTGGAGGCAGCGGTCCCCGTCGGACGGCGGTGGTGGTCAATGCGGAGTCGGATTGGTCATGATCAGATGGTTTGATCACGGGTCGAATTGGTCATGGTCACCGGTCGAGTAGTTGGTCAGGGGTGGTTTGATCATTGTTTGGATTGGTCATGATCATTTATCGGATTGATCATGATCATTGATCAGATTGGTCATGATCAGTGATTAAGTTGGTCACTGGTCACTAGGTTCGAGTTACTGTAACTAATCGATCCAGGTAACTGTAACTGATCGATTCGGGAAACTGTAACTTGTCGGTCCAGGTAATTGTAACTGGCTAGTCGGGTAACTGTAACTGGTCGATTCAGATAACTATAACTGGTCGATTTGGGTAAATGTAACTTTTAGCAAAATTTTGACAAGCTAGAACTAATTAAGAAGAAGATTATATGAAGAGGGGATCTCGTACAAGAACAAATAAGGAAGATGACAAGTGAGTGAATAAGAGTGAAAACTTGTGTATTATTCGAATGTTCAGCTCTGCCCTGATTACAATGAGGCTATCCTACTTATAGGAAAGGTAATTAAAGCCCTAATGATGACATTTTATGTTACTAACGGATTGATCGCACTTTATGACGATTTCAAATCTGTCATAAAGGTCGGTCAATTACAATCAATATTTTCATTAATCATATTAAAGAGGCTAATAATACATAAAGACGTTACAATAATTGTCATTAGGCCTTGCGAATGCTCCACCAGCTCGAGTTGTCCGTTATGGGCGGTTTGACTTGACGGTTCTGACCCGATGGTTTCACAACTTGTCATTAATGCTGCTCAGCTCAAAATAAGTAACCTCGAACCTTAGTATCGTTATTAACCATAATAATAAACACAAATCCGTTACAACAGCCATCATTAAGCCTCATTAACTTCTGTGGTCAACCCTCTTTAATGCAACATAAATCGCCAAATTCTTGCTCGGATCAGGTAAAACATAATTGTCAAATAACTGTAACTATTCGATCAGATAACTATAATTGATCGAACATGTAATTGTAATTGATCGAAAAGGTAACTCTTAGTGATCGGATCTTCGAATAATTGTAATTAGTGGAGTCAAATTAAGTAACAGGAAGGATATAAAAGTCAACATATTTTTTACAGCGTCAACATCTTTTTTTTTTGAAAGCAACATCTCTTTTATTGCTAGCATTTTCACAATTGAGAAGTGGCCCGGGCTTAGGAGCAGCTGGATGAATCCTCCGGTATAAACGTATGCGTGATGCCGGATGTGTATTAATTGAGGGATGGTCCTCTCTTTCTGGAAACTATTAAATGAGGTCCTATTTTGGTCTAAATCATTTTAATTAGTACTACCTCCGTCCCCCTAAGTTTGGGACAAGAGAAAGTGACATGATTATTAATAAAAATTGGTTGATGTGGTTGATATTGAATTGATAAAAAAAGAATAAATTAGGAATGATTTAGAACCACACAAACTTTACTAAATAAGCATGAGACAATCTTAGTGGGACGAGCCAAAATGGTAAAATGGGACAATCATAGCGGGACGGAGGAGTAATATTTATGACATAACCCCAAAGAAGTATTAGTATTAAATCACCCTTATAATAGTACAATTAGTATAAGGGTATGTTTGGCACAACTAGCTGAAAAGATACTTTTGTGAGCTTTTTAGTAACTGTTAGCTTTTAGTGACTGAAAAGATCTTAAAACGATAAAGTGATAGCTGTTTGGTAAAAAGCTGACTGTTTGATTTAGTTCGGTTTGGTGTACAAGCTGTTAGGACTAATTAATATTAAAAGTCACGAGCTTTTCTCAGATGCTACACCCGGTAGCATCTCAAAAAAGATCTTTTAATTTTTGAAAAGCTCTTAAAAAATGTCATGCCAAACATACAACTAGAGTCTTTTAAGGTCTTTTTAAAGAAAAGAGAAGTTAGAAGGCAGAGGCTTTTGTGTGCCAAACATGGCCTAAAAGTGTGCAATAGAGTATTATGATCTACACATGATATATGCTACAAGTTAAATTATTTATTATTTAACTATATATTATCATTGTATTATAATAAAAATAATTCATTGTGTTAATTTTATAATTTAATAATAGTACTCATTTCATTTAAACTATATATACTCACTATAAGTATCAACTAAAATACTTGGTTATTCCGTACACATAATATAACCGGTTGTATCATACTTCTTATAATTTACGACTAATTACCATAATAAAAAATGACACATCGCTTGAAAACACGGAAAACTTGTCCTTACAAGATTAAAATAAGGTGCACCGTGGGGGCACCAAGATGCTTGTTATAGATATATCATATAGAGGAAAGCTCATGTCAGGACCTCCAAAAATGGACCTCCGTACGGACCTCGGCGTTTGGGCCCCTTCCCGGTGAAATTTTTTGATGAAATGTTTTGAACATGTTCTTCATCAAGTCTAGTTTACTCATACCAAATTTCAGCTAATAATTCCATCGGGAAGGCAGTCAAATGATTTTTAGAAGTTAACTGCATTTTATATGTATATAAAGTGCGCAGTTAACTTCCAAAAATCATTTAAATGCCTTCCCGATTGAATTTTAAGCTGAAATTTGGTATGGATAAACTAGACTTGATGAAGAACATGCTCAAAAAATTTGATCAAAAAATTCCACCTGTTCATCCTGGGATGGGATTAGCGGGTGGGAAGAGAGATACGGAACCTGGCTGATACCATATAGAAGGAATATTTTATTGAACTTCATTTGAGAATTACATTGATACAGAATATATACTACACTTTGTACATATACAAAAGGAAGGAAAATCAAATACATAATGGCCGAGATGCTATACAAAGAAAGAATATATTAGCTCTTTAATTTACTTTTCGGTTATCACTATTAGTCTCTACTTTAAAAAACTAGTTAATTGTCATTATAGTTAAAGTCACGTTATGATAGTTTGAATTTATATTTGAAGGAAAAAAGAGTAGTTCAATTAATTTTATTGAAGTACTTAACATTTTATTAAAGTAGTTTTTATTAAATTAAAGTACTTGAAAAGTTGCTATAATTTAATTACTCACATTTTAGTTAAAGTCACACTTGTTAGTTTTTAAGTATTTATTAAAAGATACTATTGATTAGTTCAAATTTAAATTTTTATTTTAGAGTCACACTTTAATTCATTACTTAATTAAAGTACTTCACATTTTATTAAAGTAGTTTTCACTAAATTAGTTTGAAGTATTAATTAAAATAGTTTTAATTAGTTGCATTACTTTTGTACTCATTATTATATTTGTTGCAAATTAATATTTATTAAATTTTTAAGATGGAAGGTGGTAGATATTCGGTTGATATGAGTACCTCGAGCGCAACCGAAGGAACGAGATTGGGAGGAAGAAATCCCGCAAAGGTAAAGAACTTGCCGACTCTTCATCTCAAAGCCGAGATGATTTTGAAACGGGTTACCAAAGGAGGGATGAAGATGCGATGTCCGAAGAACAACTACAACAAGAATTGGCCCGGCATAATAACCGCTTTCTCCAACAAGAACAAATCCCGACGACCATTGACGAAGATGAGCTCGAGGATGACGATGCAGATGAACTTGAACCGGAGACGGGCGATGGTGACGGCAACCACGACGAGGCGGACGAGCCCACCTCATCCCAACCCGGTAAGAAAAAAAGTAAATTTGAACTAATGCAAAATAATTTTGATAAGTGGAAGGACGCCCAAACCGGGTTTTGGTACGCAACTTGCAAGTGGGGTAACAAAAATTATAGCTTGGGGACCTCCTGCGGATACGGATCCGCCGCAAGGCATCTTAAGGCAAAGCACCCCGTGGAGTATGCAAAATTAGGCGGCGGAACGGGGAAGCAAACTCAAATATCGAGGTTTGCGAATTCTCAACCTTTTGGTAATTTCTCATACAATGATGCACAAAATTTGACTGGCATGGCTAACTTAATTTGTGAAGAAAATTTGTCTTATATGTTTTCTGAAAGTCTTGCTTTAAGACATTATGCATGCGGTAGTTTAAATCCTCAATTTAGAGGTTATAGTCACAAAACTGTTAAGAAAGAAATTATAAGGCTTTATAGTGCGGAAAAGGCAAGGTTACAAAATTTATTTGCAAACTTTGATGAGCGTGTTACTATTTGTTCTGACATATGGGAGGATGATTTTCATCATTTAAATTATTTGGGTCTGGCTGCACATTATATTGATGATGATTGGAATATGCATAAACGTGTTCTTACTTTTCGTGAATTTAATGATCGTCACACCGCTGAACATATTTATATTTTGATTGAGCGTATTTTAATTGAGTATAATTTTATTGGTAAGGTGTTTGCTATTGGTTTCGCTAATGCTACTAATAATACTGCTGCTATACCTAGATTGCGTGAATTGTGTGGTGCCAATAATTTGATGGGTAGATTTTTTCATCAACACTGTGCATGCCATGTTATAAATTTATGTGTGCAAGACGGTCTAAAAGCGTTAGGAGATGCTATGGAGGTAGTCGGAGGGGGGGGGGGGGTAGACGTACTTGGGGTAATGATTGTTGGGTGTGTTTCGGAAAATAAAGAAAATTAATTAAAATAAATTAATTAAATAAAATGACAAGAGAAAAACAAGAAAGGAGATGAAGCAGAATTAGTCAAAGCTCGTGCTACGCACGATTTCCTTAAAACGTATTTGTTGCCTCCCACGGTGCTAGGAGCGTTGCAACAATCATTTCCCAGGATACGATGACTACGAAATAATGTTTGAGCACACAAACAAGAGTTCCAGCGAACGAGAACACAAGCTGAACACAAAGGAAATTTTTAGAATGCTGGCAGTGTATTTTTAGAGCTAAAACGTGTATGGAGTGCAAGAATGCGTGTAAGAACGTATGTTGTTGCAAACCACCTGTCAGCCATTATATAGGAGGATTTGTTGTGTGAAAGTAGTGAATTAATGGACCTGAACGTTGGACATTAATGACCAGTCCGTTGGGCATTGAATCGTCCATGAACTGTCCATTTAACGCTGCATTAAAGGATATAAACGTTGGGCATTTATTGCTACCAGAGACCGACGTGTTCTGATGCCACCAGAGACCGAGGTATTCTGATCGAGGCCATCAGAGGCCGAGGTCTTCTGCTAGGCACTTCTGTCAACCGGGAAAAAATATACGTTTCGGGAAGAAAATAAAAATTACCCGTATCTCTTGAGAGATGAATTTTTGGACGACATTCGTGTCCGCAGGTCGTCCGCGCACGCAAGTCGCGGTTTTTCTTCTCCGATTTCGGGATTTGATTTGCACCCCCCCTGCGCGCGTGGAGAGAGCCTTTACCCTTAGGAATCTTAACTCCATAAGGGGGGAGTCCCTTTATAAAGGGTTGCAAATCCCTTGGGTTTTCCGGTGTGGGAAATTAACACTAGAAACCCATCCTTTTTCCCAGTTTTTTCATTCTAACGGGTAAACTTCGAAAAGCGATTTCTCATTCACCCGTTATCCGTTTTGAGCGTACCATATATCGAATTGTAGCCCTTAACAAGGAAAATCCGAAACCACTTTGACCCGACCCAAATCGGAAGTGGACCCCACTCAAAAAATTGCCCCAAAATAGCCATTTAATGCAATTTTTCACACATTTTTCCAACAATCATCAACTTAGATTAAAATGACAAACTTATTTGACTGAAAGAGGTGTGAGACATGTTGCTTTTTCTAAAGATTTGAGTATTCGTTGGAATAGTACTTATAAATTACTTAAAGTTGTTCTTAGATATAAAGAACATTTTCCTGCTTTTTTAAAACAACATGATAACTATATTATAAACTCGGCTGAGATCGACACTTGCGAAAAAATTTGTAATGTTTTGATTTTTTAATGCAACTGAAACTTTTAGTCATGTTTATAAACCTACCGCAAACCAATTTATTCGTGAATCTGTTAATCTCGCCGGTGCTTTTAAAGAATTTGAGAATGCCGTTTACGTGAGTTATTTTTGTGATTTTATGAAGGAAAAGTTTTAAAATATTATGCACATATTCCACATATTTATGGTATTGCATTTATTCTCGATCCTCGTTTTAGACTAGCTAATTTGGAAGATTGTTTCAACTTCTATTATCTTGTTTTTTTGGTGAATTTCCAATGTATGACGATAACCTCATAGATCCGAAAACGGAATACAACGAGGTTAGTACTTTATTTTATGCCTTATTTAATGAGTTTCATGCACAACATGGCAACGCGTCCCCTCCTCCGACACAAACATCTTCATCTAAAGAAAAATCAAATTTTAAATCTGCATTTGGCAATCTTATGAAAAAAACTAAAACAACTCACCCTATTGAACAAAGCGCAATAAATGAGATTACTTTGTATTTAACATATGAAGTTGAATTTGAAGAAAATGATGACTTTGACGTTCTAAAGTGGTGGAAGTCAAAAGAAAGAATGTTCCCGATTTTAGGACGGATGGCTAAGCAAGTGCTATCAATGCCAGTTTCAACAGTTGCCGTGGAACAATAATTTAGTTCGTCTGGCAACGTCCTAACGGCATCTAGAACGAGATTGAGCGCAAACTCTCTTGAGACGCTTATATGCTATCACGATTGGTTGAAGGCCGCATGTAGAACTCAAGAAATGAGCATAACCCCCTCTCAAGACTTTATGGATGACTCAACAACCGATGGTGGTTCTACCTATGCCGGAGATTCCGAATGATTAGTATTTTACAATTTATTATAAAATGTATTTCATGTTTTAATCTTTCCCTCAATTCTCAATTGTAATTTGTAAACTTGTACTTCATATTTCAAATAAATATGTGTTCATTTTTTCATATGAAACACTTCTGAAATTAATTAATTGGTTACAAACTTACAACATACAATTAATTTTTTTAATTTACTTGAAAATGTATTTCATATTGTAATATTTTTCTCAATTCTCTAATGCAGTTCCTATTTTAAATAAATGCACTTGAACTTTGTTTTTAATAAACATTTGTATAAACTAAAAAGTATAAAAAAAATCAACTGACCCGGCCCGGCCCGGCGGGTGGCCCGACCCGTGACCCGGGCGGGTGGCCCGGCCCGAACCGGCACCGGCCGGTCCCGGGCCTCCTTCAAAAACCCGAGGCCCGGCTCGGGCCCGGCCCGGGTCTATGACTAGACATGATATTACTGATTGGCCAAACGTTTTTTTTTTTAAATAATTTGAGGTTGGCTTGGACTTAGAACCATAAAATAAGGAAAACACATCCGAACGAAATCAAACCGGAGTGTGGTTCTTAGAATTTTGGACTTCTGTTTTTGGATTTGATTCTAAAGTTATTGATTGCTTCAGTTTCGGTTGCAGTAAATTTTAACTCTGGGGAACCAAAATTCTAATAAATTTTCATAATATGCTTTTATATATTGTGGATTAGCACACATTGAATTATAACCTTTAAACCTTTTAACCTTTAGGATGTTTTTACCTGGACTTGAATTTTCTTGTCTATCCAGGTTTGATCTAGCTTGTTTAAGTCTGGTCCGGTCTGAAGTGATCTAATCTGGTCTAATAGATGTCAGGTCTATATGTATCTTACAACTGCAGGACTTTGGTCTAGTAAAAGTTAAGTCCTTGTGTATTTTACAACTAAAGAAGTCTGGTCTCGGATTGAAATAAGTGCAATTAAAAATATCTCTAAATCTAATTCAAACCACACACTAAGAGTGCAAACAAGGCAAACCACTCGTGAACAGCTCAATTAAAGCTTGACTCAAGTTCGGTCAATCTCGAACTCACTTGTTAAGCAAATAAGTTGAACTTGAGTCTTGAGCTCAATTCCTTTGAACTCGTGTGCCATAACATAAATAAATAGTTATGTAGGTAGATAGGAAGGGAGGGAGGAGGGAGAGAGGCAACTGACTAACCAAATATATATACTCCCTCTTGAGCATATTGACTCTTCCAAACTTTGAAATGGCTCATGTCTTTATGTTCAATGCATCTAAGTGCTCCCTATTTTCTACTCTGTATTCGGGTTTTACTATAGCGCTATTTACTATACCAATGGATCTAATAGGAAGATATAATGACCCTCTTACTCATTTTAGTATCTTTTTAAAAATTTAAAAAAAAAATGTATAAGGGTTAAATTTTAATAATGTTGATATCTTAATTTCTATAATTAATTCAACTCATCCCTCTTTGATCTCTATCAATACAAACTCTAGTCTAATTCTTCTTCCCTCTCGTGAGATATACTTTCCTTCATGAGTTGTCCAAAAATATGAAACTTTTCTAATTGGACTCAACTATTTTTCTTTCATTTTACATTTCCACCCTTTACTTTTGTTTAACCTATCTTATTTTTCTTTTTTACTTTCTGAGGATTAAAATGGTAAAATAATTATTTCATCTTTATTTTTTCAATCGCGCACCAAATCCAAATATATCTTATATTATGTGGTATCTAAATTTTTTGCGACAATTATTACCATAAGTTGGAAAGAAATAACCAAAGAAAATACCACTTTATTATATTTGTCACTTTAATTCCAAGGGAGAAAAGTGTTTATTGCTAAAATATACTATGACATTTCATTATTTAATACGGAGTACTTAAATTGTTTGTAATACTTTTCGTATAAAAGTTTTATCTACACAAATAATAATAATAATGGTGTTGATTATAAAAGTATATGTATTGTTTGGCTGGAATGCTGGATGCTGGATGCGTTTGAGCTCAAGTATATCCATTTCATTTGTTCCATATTTTTATTTAAAAATGCTAATTGTACTCGTTGATTTCACTTTTCAATTATGCGTTTGAACACTTTTCTTCAAAACGTGGATTTGAGTTTTGAAAAGGGAATATAAGAATTTTTAAATAAGCATTGATAATATAAAGATAAATTTAATACTCTAATATGTCGATTCATTCAAATGAGAATATCCGTGATGTGTGCCCTTTTTATAAATATTACTAGTATATTGCAAGAGCGTAGCCCAGTTTGTGAGAAAAGGGTGTTACAAGGGAGGGGATCCAAGTTCAATTTCAAACAAAAACTTGAGTTGGAATCTCACTGTCTCTCCCGTTTTGTGATCGAAACTCATTTTACATCATCCCAGGTAATTGATATTTGTGGTTGGTCTGGGGACCTCTCAGGGACAAATTACATTAGATGTATGATTCATTTAATCAGATGGATAATTGATACTTGTGGTCGGTCTGGGGACCTCTCAGGGACAAATTACATTAGATGTATGATTCATTTAATCAGATGGATAATACTAGCTTGCATTGCAGACATACAAGCTAGTAGCATATTAAAGAGATATCCAAACTTCTGGGAAGCAAAAGGAATACAGACTTGTATAGGTGAGCTTCTCCAGGTGCACAAGATACACTTTACAGGTCAGAGTGTATGTTAATAATTAACCATCTCTTGAAAGCTTGAACTCCAACATCTCTTTTACATTTAACCGAATGGAAGGCCCCATGGATGAACACACATGAGCAGTTTTCCAGTACGTTCCTTTTGCCCCAGATGGCTTGTTCGCTTCTACAGATTTCTGTAAATTACATATAGGGTACCAGATCATGTCCGGTCCAGACATGTAATATATGAATCGGGGAGAAAATAGTGTGAAATTGAAGATGACGAAGAAGAAAACACATACCACAACAGCAAGAAAGTTTTGGAGAAGATCTTCATCTGAAAAACCTGTTTTTCCAAATGGCAAGTGGACAATCCCAGTCTTGTCTGCACGATATTCAACTTTTCCTTGCTTAAATTCCTGTATGGCCTGTGGAACAAGAAACTGTTAAATTTATCCACCAAACATGCACATTACCTGAACATTTACATCAGAACTGGCCACAAAGATTCATATTACACCAGGCGACAACTGGTGCTATATTTCAGATAAGAAAGCTAGACAATATTACACCAAATGATAACTGGTGCTATATTTCAGACAAGAAAACTAGACAAGATCACTAACATTTATACAAACCAGACCAGAATGATTGAGACCAAACCATAGCAAAAACATTCACACCAAGGGAAGGCCAGACAAAACCAGAAAGATTTAGACCAGATATAAGAGTATAAAACCAAACAAGATAAGATGAAGAGAATATGTCCCAAATAGTAGCTTATGAGAAAGCATACCTGAGGTAAATTTGTCGTTACGGTGCCTGCCTTTGGATTCGGCATGAGTCCCCGAGGACCCAAGATTCTTCCTAAACTCGCAGCCTGATACAAGAAATATAAACTAGTAAATCAGTCTAATTCTCACAGAGGTTCCCCCAAAAAAGAGACAAGTGAAGGAACGCCCAACATGCTTCTGTGCCACTTGGCCAGTATCAGGCTATAAGGACAGAAGAAGCACAAAACATATTGCAACATAAATTAGAGAAAAAAGCGCTCAAATAGCATACAAGATTGAAAAGCAGAATGTGCTCTATGTTCCTTTTAACAAGTGAGCAATACATGTGGATACTGATACTTTTATTAAGTTTGTGATATTTGATCAATTGACCCGAGTAAATTTAATAATTCATTTTGATGTGCCCAATCAATTCATGGTTATATTAGAGAGCCCAATGCAGCATATTAAATCCTAGAGCCCAAATGAATTAATAAAATTGGATACCGGCCCCAAATTATGACCCATTACTGTAAAGGATTTTATTTTTCATATAAAAAAATAGAGTTGGGACTCTCAAGCCACATGACTTTGAAGTTGATTCAGCCAAGAAGAAGAATTCTCATCTTATACCAACACTTGAGGCGGCTGGAGTTATAGGTTAATCTCAGATGGAATTATTTGGCATGCATGGGAAAGAACATTGATGTAGGAAAGAACATACTTGTCTGGATAAAAAAGGACCCCAGATTCATTGAACAACAACAACAACATCCAACCCTTAGTCCCAAAAGATATTGGGGTCGGCTAACATGAATCGATACATGATATCACCATCAAAAGGAAAAGAAAGAAAATAAAGATAAAAAGATAGCTATTATGAAAAAGATAATATAAAAAGAAATGAATATACCTAAAACTGATAAAATAAATGGATAAAAATAATGTTTATATATATAAGGATAAAAGGATTAAAAAAACAAGAAAAAAATGAGGGGAAAAGAAAATACGAGATCACTCTCCCACACGAATACCCATCCTCCACTTTGCTCTCTCCAAAGCCATACCCTCATCTAACCCAAGAAGAAGCATATCACTTCGGACTCCCCTAACCCACGTCTGTTTGGGCCTTCTTCTCCTTCCCTTCCCTGCCTCTTCTCCACACATCTCAACTCGTCTGACAAGTGCATCACTCGGTCTTCCACGCACATGACAAAACTACCGTAAGCCCGACTCACGCATTTTGTCTTCAATAGGTGCTACTCCCACCATTTGTCTAATTGTCTCATTCATCACGTGGTCCTTCCTAGTATGCCCACGCATCCAACGCAGCATGCGCATCTCCGCCACACTCATCTTTTGAATGTGACATTGTTTCACCGCCCAACACTCTACGCCATACAGTAATGCAGGCCTAATTGTTGTCTTATAAAACTTACCCTTCAATTTAGTCGGCATACCTCTATCGCATAAAAATCCTGACGCATTCTTCCACTTCATCCACCCTGTTCTGATTCTATGGGATACATCTCCATCTAACTCACCGTCCTTCTGAATTATGGAGCCCAAGTAACGGAACATATCACTATGAAAATATAATAAAATGGAGACCAAATTTCATTCCACGTG